ATTTCTCCACACGCACACACACACATACTCATAAAACCTGATTTCTATTTACTTGGTCTATACTTTTCTGATAAATTTCTCTGTATATGTGCTTTTTTTTCTGTATTATGTAAAACAGTCAAATAATATAACTGTAACTATTTGAGGAGACCCCATGAGATTAATAATATTCTGTCCTCATATGCTAGAAGATACCAATACACTATATGATGTATGCTTTATTCTTCATTAGGACTTTCCTTTGATTTCTATTTATTATGCCTCTTTATGAGGAAAACCTTGCTCAAAGAAAAAAGTTCCATCTCATTTAGATATCCTTTTAAGTTATTTATGTAGAGGTCTCTTTTCTCACTCAAAAATAAGCTCTCTGGGCACAGGCACCTGTCATGTCTATTTCATCCTTTTTTTTTTTTTTTTCATTTATTTTTATTAGTTGGAGGCTAATTACTTTACATCATTGCAGTGGCTTTTGTCATACATTGAAATGAATTAGCCATGGATTTACATGTATTCCCCATCCCGGTCCCCCCTCCCACCTCCCTCTCCACCCGATCCCTCTGGGTCTTCCCAGTGCACCAGGCCCGAGCACTTGTCTCATGCACCCAACCTGGGCTGGTGATCTGTTTCACCCTAGATAATATACATGTTTCGATGCTGTTCTCTTGAAACATCCCACCCTCGCCTTCTCCCAGAGTCCACAAGTCTGTTCTATCCTTATATCCCAGGAAACACTCTGCTCAGAGTCAAACATGCAGTCAGTCTTCACTGACTGTTAACTGGATGAATTGATGACTTCCAGAATCCCACTGCTTGGCCTTGGTACCCAAAGCTCTACAGTGTTTCATCTGTAACATTACTTCACCACAACTTGGGGAACTAAATTAGAACAATAATAGAATGTTTCATAACCTCCTAATCTGAATTTGAGTGTATTTTTATTATAACTTTTTAGAAAGGTAAAATGCTATGAGTCACTTTTCCTTCTTTTTGTCTTGCCTTGCTTCATTCAGGAAACAGCCTTATTCACTTTTTAGCTTTAAAATCTTGCTGGATACCTATTTAACCTTACAAGGGATAAATGTAGAATTGAACTTCAGGAAGTTCTTATTTGTACTCATTAAAATAGCCACAAAAGTAATTAAAATTATGACATACAGTGCTGATGAAGTTGGGAAAAAGTAACAGAGTGGGTGCCTGGAAAAGCAGATAAAGCTCAGATCCTGTTTGGAAAGCAACTTAGAAATATTTACATAGATGTTTAATTTATCTTTAATAGCAAAAATTGGAAACAACGTTAAGTATTCAACAGTTTGGGGCAGATTAAACAAATGATCAGACCTGACTTTGATAGATGATAAACAATTTATAAGACACAAATACTGTGTAAAACCAAACATGCAGTATAAGATAATAAAAAATCAGCACGTCAAACTATGTAATAAGCTTACGATTGCTTGAAACATGTAAGCATAAATTTAAGAGACTAGAAGGAAACAGGACAAAATGAAAACAGTTATAGAGTGATGGGATTATGGATGCAATGTTTTGTTTCCTTTTACGTTAAAAGATTATTTTAACAAAACATAAAATCAAAGGAAAAAAAGGATCAAGTTTTAGTCCCTCGATGTTCATATTTTAAGAAGGATGTTATGCAGATACCTAAGCAGCGTTTGTCTCCCTTGCTTCAAAATCTCAGCATGTATTTCGTCTGGTTCCAGGGGCTTAGCCATTTAAAAAAATAATAATTCTGGATACCATAGTTATTCTTTGAAAGTCTAAACAGAGTTTGTATTGTTCCCTGGCAGCATTTCTTGTTTGCATTAAACCATGAGTTATGATATTAGTGCATCCTGTTGTAGGTTCTTTGAAGAAGCAGACTCCATAGCTCTTTTTATGGTTACATGGTAAATGAGAGTCCTCTTTAGGGTGTATTCAATTTCCGATGGGCTTCTTACCCTTGTGTGTGCTCAGTCACTCAGTTGTGCCTGACTCTTTGTGACCCCATGGACTGTGATCTGCCAGACTCCTCTGTCCATGGAATTTTCCAGGCAAGAATACTGAAGCAAGTTGCCATCTCCTCCTCTAGGGGATCTTCTATACTTACCCTTGGTTATGTACAAAGGGCATATCAAAATTTTCTTATAATGGCCATCGTTATTCTAAGTCAATATTTTTGCCATTTTATCGAGGAAAATGCAAATGATTGCAGCGTAACTTTATAGAGGAAGCAGAATTTCTTCCATGAGTTAAGATTTTAGCAATTACAGTACAATAACCCAGTATAATCGTAAAACATTTTTTGTCCTTTTAGAAAGACACTATAAGCTTCACATTGCCTAGTTTATCTGGTAGGTATACAAAATCATCTTTAAATAAGTTACATTTAGTCCAGGTTTGTATACATTCTGGAGGTCATTTAATAACCAAATGATAATGAGGATAGAAATATTCATCACCAGCCCTCCCAATTTCTAGATGCATTCATTCACCAATGCATAATTGTATTAAGAGCACACCTCTTAAGGCAGAGTTGTGTAAGTCTGGGAAAATTACTTTACCTTTCTGTGCCTTAGTTTCTTCGTCTATTAAAGAGAAATAAAGATAGTACTTATCTCATAGAAATTTGTGAGAATGTGAGAGTTGGACTGTGAAGAAAGCTGAGCGCCGAAGAATTGATGCTTTTGCACTGTGGTGTTGGAGAAGACTCTTGAGAGTCCCTTGGACTGCAAGGAGATCCAACCAGTCCATCCTAAAGGAGATCAGTCCTGGTGTTCATTGGAAGGACTGATGCTGAAGCTGAAACTCCAGTACATTGGCCACCTCATGCGAAGAGTTGACTCACTGGAAAAGACCCTGATGCTGGGAGGGATTGGGGGCAGGAGGAGAAGGGGACAGCAGAGGATGAGATGGCTGGATGGCATCACCGACTCGATGGACATGAGTTTGGGTAAACTCCAGGAGTTGGTGATGGACAGGGAGGCCTGGCGTGCTGTGATTCATGGGGTCGCAAAGAGTCAGACACGACTGAGCGACTGAACTGAATTGAACTGAACTGAAGTGAGTTAATGAATGTAAAATCCCTGGCACTTAAAAAATGTTACCATTTTACTAAGGTATGTGTTTTTGAAGGTAACAGCACAGCTATTAAAATGTCACAATTTCTGCCCTTCAGGCAGCTTAGAAGTGAAAGTGAAAGTCATTCAGTCGTGTCTGACTCTTGGCGACCGCATGAACCATACAGTCCATGGAATTCTCCAGGCCAGAATACTGAAGTGGGTAGCCTTTCCCTTCTCCAGGGGATCTTCCCAACCCAGGGATCAAAGCCAGGTGTCCCTCATTGCAGGCAGATTCTCTACCAGCTGAGCCACAGGGAAGCCTAAGTATACTGGAGTGGGTAGCCTGTCCCTCCTCCAGGGGATCTTCCTGACCCAGGTATTTCACCGGGGTCTCCTGCATTGCAGGCGGATTCGTTACCAACTAAGCTATCAGGAAAGTCCTAAGTCAGGCAGCTTAAAAAATCAACTAAATTTGCTATGAACCTAAAACTGCTCTAAAAAATAGTCAACTTAAAAAAAAAAAAATCAACTAAGGAGCAACTTTTTAACCCTCAGTGGAAAGAAACTTGCCCAGTAGTTGAAGCATGTAATAAATGACTTGGGAATGTTTTTAAATGAAATTCTAGTTGCTGTAAGTTTAAGCTTCATGGAAATAACAAAAGCCACACTGCTTTCTGTCTTCTCCCAGTTTTACTGAGTTACAATTGACATATGACATTGAATTAGTTTTAAGTGTATACCATAATGATTTGATATGTTGTGTATATGTTGTGTAATGATTACCACAGTAAGTTTGGTTAACATCCATCATCTCACATAGTTACATTTTTTTTCCTTGTGATGAGAGCTTTTAAGATCTACTCTCTTAACAGCTTTCAAATATACCATAGAGTATTGTTAACTGCAGTCATCATACAGAATATTTTTCCTTTGCTTCTGAACACTTGAAAAGATTTTTCCTTTTCCTCTTTGGAAAACAATTGTTGGTTCAGAGTCTTGAAAGCCTGAGATACCTCATTATCTTTCTGAAATGTGTAATCTTTCTAGCTAGTAGCCATTATCATTTTCTCAGATACCTGTCACTCAATATGACAATGAAAACTGCAACCCTGAATGTTTATTTTTATCATCTTTACAGTGAAACTGGGAAGAGAAATCAAAGCCATTTTTATTTTTGTGTCAGATATGTCTAAATGAATTAAATAGATGGGTGTATGGAGGAGGACATGGCAGCCCACTCCAGTACTCTTGCCTGGAAAATCCCATGGACAGAAGGACCTGGTAGGCTGCAGTCCATGGAGTGGCAAAGAGTCAGACACGACTGAGCGACTTCACTTTCACTTTTCACTTTCATGCATTGGAGATGGAAACGGCAACACACTCCAGTAGTCTTGCCTGGAGAATCCCAGGGACAGAGCAGCTTGGTGGGCTGCCGTCTATGGGGTCACACAGAGTCAGACATGACTGACGCAACTTAGTAGCAGCAACAGCAGATGCGTGTATGCTTCAAGATTTAGGTTTGGAGATGCTCATTTTCCTTAATTCTAATAAATACAATGATTTAGTCTCTGTTTTCCTGAGCTGAGAAATCACTTGAAAATTCTCCATCAAGTCTTATTAAATTTTCAGATGTCTTTTACTCATTCATCAAATACTTACTTGGTGTACCTAGCACCATGCTAGATATTCATTTCCCCTGGTAATTTGCTTTTGCTTTCTTAGTGAAGAAAAGACTGAATGCAAGAAAACTAGCTCTCTTGTATCCCTAGCCCATAGCACATAAAAGTTTGGCCCAAACAAGCTAACTTGTATAACTAGTTTAACATACTATGTACCTCTCGAGTATTATTGGATGGTTGGTTATATCCGCTAACAGTCTGTATAATGTGTTGATTTTGTGTGTTTTACTTAGTAGTATCTTTTTTTTTTTTTTTTAATTTTGAGGGTGAACCCGGGTTACCTGGAGCAGTAGGACAGAATGGAATACCAGGGCTAAAGGTTGGTACAAAGAAAACCAAGCAGAATCATTTGAGGCATGATTTTTCATGAGATTTTAAGCTGTTACAATTTTTTATATCCCACTGGTTTTACTTGGATGGAATCTTTTGTCAATAGTAAAATATATTATAGTATAAAACGTTGTGACTAAAGAATAAATGGTGTTCATGATTCTCATTACATTAAAAACACAGAGTGTAGGATATGATTGTCTAAACTTTGACTTCTGGGATACTTAACATGAGAAAACCTGTATTTCAAATATGACTATTGTCATTTTACCATTTGATGAGTGTATTAAAACATAGGTCATGTCCACACTACCAACGTTTGCATAATTTTTATAAGATGTACTAAAGAAAATGTTTACAGTGCCACTGTGACTTTTCCTCAAGATTTGGCCACCTCTAGAACTTACATAACCCAACAAGTTAATCAAATGAAAAGCATAATGTAGCATGTTTGAAATTTAAAAATGGATGTAGTCTGCATTACTATATAGGGAAAAAATGTAATGGAGAGTTGAGGGGTGATTCCAAATTTCCTTTGTTTCTGAAGAACAAATGAATCTGTTAAATATAAAAAGATTGGTGACAGTTTAGTTTAAACCAGATAGGCAGACAAATCCCAAATCCTTTGATGAGTGACCATCCCTTGAAGTACAGAACTAATGTCTAATCCCATCAGCTGTGCTGCTGTGTATCCATACCCACAGATGCCCGTCAGCTGATTTTACAGATCACATTGCTATCGACAGGCGCCTAGAACAGACCTAAAATTTATAGACCTGTCCTTTGTCCTGCAGGAGAGGAAAGAAAATATTCCTTCTGGGACTACAGCCATTTTCCTGTCTTCTTCCCTCTCTAGCTCTGTGCTAAAAAGTCAAATGATAGGAGCTAATGCTTAATGCTTGTTCTCAGTACTGTTCTTCTGTTGCCTAGCAACCATCAGGGTGGCTGTTAAGCAGTGAAAGGTAACCAGAAATCCAAAAAGCCAAAGGGTCCGGCCGAGTTTAAGGGAGTGAAAAGAGTGCTGCCTTCAAACTGACTTCAAGAGTACATTAGGATTTTTTTTTAATGCAATAACCACCTTAAAAATAATTTTTAAAGCAGTGTGACCTTATTGCAATACCTTCTCAAGCTTTTCTTAAGAAGGGTATTACCGTAATGTGTGTGATTTGCTGTCAATTTACTCTCTGATTCTGTCCCCTGTCTCTTCCTGGGTAAAATGACAATGAGATTCTTTTCAGCACACAATTTTGCGTTTTAGTCTTTATACTGCCATGATAATCGTTTTTGCATAAAGACATCTCTCCTAAACTCACTTAGATTCTGCCTCAATCTAGTATCTTTCCTGAAAAAACTAATGACTCCTAAAGTACAACTGATTTAGAACACAGTAATTAACAACAGATTGAAGAGCATTCATGACATTGTGAAAGGGTCCAAGTTCAGGCCTTAGTCATGTCAGGGCAAGATATTCTGGTGAACTACACTCCAGACCCCAGAAATAATCCATGCACCAGCGGGTGCTTTGAATGAAAGATTTCACGGACGGATGTGCTAGCTCACCTTACTGAGTTAGAGTCTGGTCGAAATAAGATGTCATAATCTCAGAGTTGCCTCAACATTGCTCCCCTTAGTGCCCTAAAAGCCAGGCTTTTCTGATCTTAAATATCTCTCTTTAGTCCTCAAAAGAAAAGAATTAAGGTGATATTTGCTATTGATATCCATATTCAATTTTCCAGGAAATTCATCATTTGATTTTAGAAAGCAACTGTATATTGGCAAAATAGAAAATATTGCATGTAATTTAACTAGTATGCTCAGTATTTGATTTTGTTTAATGTTGCTTAATTAGGTGTTTTATAATTTAATGTGTCACTCACTTTGTTCTTTTGTGCAGGGAGAACCTGGAGAACAAGGATTAAAGGTGAGATGATTCTGCCTGTTTTTAATCTCCTCCCCTCAAGAGGGACCAAACTAAGCTGTGTTTATATGTAGATGGATAGATAAGTACAGGTATACAAGTATATCTTGGCAATATTGCAGGTTGCATTCCACATCACTGTGATAAAATGTATATTGCAATAAAATGAATCACATGAATTTTTGGTTTCTCAGAGCATGTAAGTTATGCTATACTGTAATCCTCTAAGAGTTCAATAGCATTATAACTCAAAAACAGTATGCATATCTTAATTGGAAAATGATGCTGTTAGAAAAATGGTGCCTTTTGTCTTGCTTGACACATGGTTGCCACAAATCTTCAATTTGTAAAAAATGCAGTGTCTTTGAAGTGCAATAAAGCAAAGCACAATAAACAAGCTATGCCTAGATATAGATGTAGATAGATATACTGGCCACTCTTTCTTTCAAACTGCTAATTAATGGAAGGAAAAAGTAGTGTAATTCTTATGTATGTTCAGAAGTTTGGGTAAAAGGATTTAAAGAAATGGATTTGAAAGGAGCAAATTTAAACAATCTATGTCAGGCTTTAAAATGGCTTTCAAAAACCTCTAGGCCTGCAAAATTTCTGTTCTGCCTATTTGCTGATGCCATTCCAGTACTGTTCTATGCATCTATACCTCTATTACTTCTTACGTCACTAGGTTAAAGGGATACAGATGTTTACCTGCAGCAAATATACTGAAAGTTGTCCCACAAAGAATTCCCATAAAAAACTAAAAAGAGAAGCAAAAGGAGAAGCAGAGTGTGTATGTTAAATTTCTCTCAGACAGACATCCTTCTTCCCACTTTGGGGAATGTTCTCATGCTATGTACTTTGCCAGTGTTTAAACATGTGTTGTCTGTGTAGGCAGTTACCAAGATATCACATAATGCTCTTCATAAGTGATATGACCTTTCTGAAAAATCAGTATCATCACCACTAATCCCAAAAGAAATACATCTACAGATCCAGCGAGCTTTGTGAATTTAACTGTATTTTTGACCACTGTAAAACAAAAACAAAAGACATTGATTTAAACAGAAGATGAGCAAAGCAGAAGGGTGGCTCTTCTCAGTCAAACCCTTTGCCTCCTGACCAGTCTGAACCAGTTTTCCTAATAAGAAAGTTTGTTTTATTTGTTTTATTTTTGAACAAAGGGATTTCCAAGCAATATTTTAAAGCATGCTAATTGGCTGCCCATCAAAAGTCCTTCATAACTGATGATCAGTATATTTATTTGGCATCCAACCAGTTCGTGGTAATTAATGTGAAATTAATTAGTCATCAGATGACTCTTTTGTGTAGATAGTAAGGAGGGGAAAGCAACAGTGTCAGCATGGTTCCAGGGGCTCATGGGATAAAGTGACTCAGACCCCCGGGCGCTGTGGTGTACCCGTCTCCATAAAAGAGTTCCCAAGCATGTTAGCCTCGTGCTTCTTTGAAACAGGAAGAGAAACTGAAGAGAAAAAGTTAAAATCTCCCTCTCTTAACACCCCTCCTTCTCTCAGGGAAATTATTATCAACAACTCCTCTCTTGTTTTATGGAAAATGTTAAATGATAGAAACGGGACCTCCCATGGGAGACAGAAGGGTATTCTTATGGAATACAAGAACAATAATGCATTGTTATTGCTAATGGCCACCATTAACAGCTTCTGTTGTGTCAGATATGGTCCTAGTTGCCTTAGACACAGGAATTCTTTCTTTTTTTTTTTCATTTATTTTAGACACAGGAATTATTTCTTATAACCCCATAAAATATTCTTGTCCTTATGTTGCACATGAGAAATTTGATGCAAATAGATTTTCGCTTGCTCAGTAGGTACTAGAGCTGGGCTAGGTCTCTGGCTCCTAAGTCTGATGTTTCCATTAGAACTTGCTGTATGACTTAAAAAATTCAGAATTTAGGACACAAATCATGGATAATACACAAATGACTTGTTTTCTACTGCATTGCTTTGTGGGTAGAAAGGAGATATGAGTGACAAAATAGGCATAGGAGCTCTCAAAACTAACAAAGGAAGCATAAACTCCTCAGATTATTTTGCTGTGATTTTTGAAGACTTTCTAATAAGGTAAAAATTTTATTTATTTACTTTATTAAAGCACTTATTTCTCAGTGCAAAACATGTATGCCTAGGTAAGTTAATATTTACTGCACAGTTTTGAGGGCTGTGTCATGCACTTTGAGAGCCTAGAGATTTGAGATGGGCTCGAAGACAGAGCAGAATTTATACAGATGGAAGGGAAAGGAGAGGGCAGGATTCCAGGAATCAGGAATGGAACAAAGGAGACAGAAGGGGTAAAGCAGAAGGCATATGGAGGGAATCAGGAGAAAGTCTTTGTTAGAGTGACTCTTTGAGCAGAGAAAACAGAAAGGGTTAAAGCAGCTCTAAGTGCCAGAATACGCTATTAAAAGTCAGAGAAATTACTTTCTGTTAATATCATGGGGTGGTTTAAAACTATTCAGTCATCTTCATTGTAATAATGTTTATTTGGACGGGTTGATATCAGGCAGTTGGTCAAGTAAGCTACATTAGCTCTGTTGAACATTTAGAACAGCTATTAATATATAGTGCCTCTGAAAGGAAACTTAAAATAAGGAAAAGTACTCATTGCTGAGTATCATCACTATGTTTTCATATATTTCTTTTCTCCCCCCTTAGGGAGATGCTGGAGAGAATGGCCCCAAAGGTGACACAGGCGAAAAGGTACAGTGTTTTTAAAAAACATGAGAGCATGCATATGAGCAAGAATATTATTTCATGTACATGAAATGGGAGATTTTGAGGAAGTTGAGAGATCATAGCTTAATATGAGAAGATCAGAGGTAATTTTACAAGATTAGAAAGCATTTAAATATTTAATTGATAAGAGGTGATTATTCTACAACTTCCTAGCTACAAATTTAAATATTTTAAAAGTAAAACGGTACTTCAAAAATTCTAGAAAATATGTAGTTGGGTTTCTAGTAATATGACTGAAGACAAAAACACCGCACTCTTAATGTGTAAATGGAGCACTCCCTTTATATACAGAGATGTAAAAAGAGAGTTTCTAAAGTGATTCCATTTGTCCCAGTTTTCGGACAGAAGATTGCAGGACTGGGATGAGATGTAAGAGTTTGATAGGAGTTAGTGTCCCTTGATTAGAGCCTCTAATGCAGTCATGAAAATTTGCCTTGACTTAAAATGTATGAAATCCAAATATTTTGTCAACTTTCATATTGTCCTTTTTTAAAAATTTTAAACCGTGACTAGCATTTACATTGCAGTGATCTTTGGTTCATCTTCCTACCTCGTGGTTTTTCCCAGACTATCACAGCTTTTGCTTGGCTTCTTACTTCACAGACACCTCTGACATAGAAAGGAAATTTTCACTTCATTTGTGGTATATGTTAAGAATTGTGGAACATGTGTGCTCAGTCGCTCTGTCGTGTCTGGCTCTGTGACCTCAAGAACTGTAGCTGACCATGCTCCTCTGTCCATGGGATTTCCCAGGCAAAAATACTAGAGCAGGTTGCCATTTCCTACTCCAGGCATCTTCCCAACCCAGGGATCAAACCCAAATCTCTTGCATCTCCTGCATTGGCAGGCGGGTTCTTTACCATAAACACCACCTGGAAAGCCCAGATGAGAATGGAATAGTCCGATTTAATTTAAGTCAGGCTAATTGATGAAACAAAGAACAATTCATTTAGGCTTGTAGTTGAGAATAAGAATGGGTCTAATTTGAAAATTATTACTGTACAGATGGATAATTGTTAGCCATAAAACCATACCCATAAAATAAAGAGAAATTTGTCTTTCTTATTCTTATAAATATTAATATAAATATGGCATGGGTGGTAGGGATAGACTAATGATAGTGTCACTGAGTAGCAATTGTGTTTGTATTCAAGGGGCAGTCTAGAAGTTCCCTGGCACCAGATGGCTCAGTGGTGAAGAACCTGCCTGCCAAAGCAGGAGACACGGGTTCGATCCCTGGGTTGGGAAGTTCCTCTTGAGTAGGAAATGGCAACCTGCTCCATATTCTTGCCTGGGAAATTCCATGGGCAGAAGAACCTGGTGGGCTACAGTCCATGGGGTTGCAAAGAGTCGGACGCAACTGAACACACACACAGTCTAGTTGTTAAGATAGACTCTCAGTTTCTTGCAGACCAGGGTTTCTTAACCTCAGCACTACTGACATTCAGGGCTGGATAATCCTCCATGGGGTAAATGTTGGATGTCTAGCATCGTTCCTAGCTTCTCCTACTAGATGCCGATAGCATTCCCAAGTTGTGACAACCAACCTTGTCTCCGGAGCTTGCCAATTGTCCCCTGGGGAACAAAATTATCCCACGTTGAGAACCGCTGCTATAACCCATTTTATTATCTGTCAGATTCAAGTATCACACTGCAATCCACCACAAGATCAGTAGGTTTTAATACTAATGAGGTCAATGATATACCTCTATGACTTTTTGAAGTAAAAATTTCAAACCCCAGATATATAAACATGGATATTACATTTGACTTTCTTGTTTTACTTAAAAGCAGCGGTCAGCAAACTTTCCCTGTGAAGGGCCAGAAAATGAATCCTTTAGTTTTTGTGGGCCATATGGTGTCTGTTACCACTACTCAACTCTGTCATCATGGCATGAGAGCAATTGTAGACAGCATGTATACTGATGAGAGTGGCTCTGTTCCAATAAAACTTTATTTCTGGACACTGAAATTTTAATTTCATGTGCTTTTCACATGTCACAAAATATTATTCTTTTGACTTTTTTTAACCATTAAAAATGCAAAAACCATTCTTAGCTCTTGAGCCACACAAAAACAGGTGGCTAGCTGCATTTGGCCCTCAGGCCATAGTTGCCAACCTCTGCTTAAAGAAAGGAAATCTTCTAAACAGAAAGCAGTTTCTTCAAGTGAAAACAATCTATGCCAAGTCTGAGCTATGCCTATGTGGATTTATGTAGAGAGGTTTAAGCTTTAGAAGATGTATTTTTAGAGCTTCATATTTTGAATGTAGGCCAATAATTATTTCTTTAATCACACATTTTTAAAATTTAACATTGTAATACTAAAGCAACTTTTTTACTTTGTAAAGCCTAAATTCATCTCAAAAGAATCCTGTTCTTATTTTTTATGTTAATGCAAATCATTTACCATACTGACTCATATATAGTAAATACATACTAAATACATACTATGTTTACTCATACATAGTAAACTCAATAAATGTTAGCTTTCTTACCACATGGAAATGGAAATCAACTAGATTGGTTATTTTTCTTTTTTATCAAAAAGTTTTATTAGTCAACTGAAATTAGGTATAAGAAATGCTTCAGTTAAAATGGAAATCATTTCTATAAACTTTCAATGAGTCTAAACAGAGGGTTGTAAATAGGAATATGTAACATATAATATGTAATCTGACCTGTAGCATTCATTCCCAAGAATGTTGTAATTGGAATATAATTTTTGATGTGTTTTTTAAACATTTCCTGCTTCTGTCATATAATTTGTTTCCAGCATGTTAGAAACACTCTTCTCACAGCCTTTGGGTTCAGTATGTGAAACTCATTCATCATTTACCAAGTTTGAGATGTAAAATAAAAAAATGCTTCTTTTCTGCCATTGATGTAGTAAATTACGTCATCGGCTGATTCACTTTAATAGGATTTTTTTTCCCTTTGATCCAACTCTGTGCCTTTGAATGGTAAAGCAATCTAAACCTTTCCAGACTGGTCATCTGGAAATGCTGTGGGACTGTTAAACCCCTCTGGACTGGGTTTTCTCTGTGGCCAGCAGCTACGATGCACTCTGGACTTAAGAATGACCTGCCAACGACTGATTTTAATCATACATGGAGTTACTGTGGGAAGGTTAGGTTCTGCTCTTGGAGTGTTAACCTCACTGACTAACATAGAGATGGATTTCTTATCTTTTATTCCCATTTTATTTAAATGTTGGTGCATTTAAGTCACTTCAGTCATCTCTGACTATTTACAACCCTATGGACTGTAGCCCACCAAACTCTTCTGTGCATGGGATTCTCCAGGCAAGAATACTGAAGTGGGGTGGTATGCCCTCCGCCAGGGGATCTTCCAAACAGGGATCAAACCTGCATCTCCTGGGTCTCCTGCATTGGCAGTCAGGTTCTGTATATATATACCAGTGATTACCACAGTCCATCGGTATCCCAGAAGATTGATTCCAGGATCCTAGAAGATATCAAAATCCTAGGATGTCCCTTATATAAAGTGGGGTAGAATTTTCCTATAATCAATGAACTTCCTCCCATATTCAGTTGACCCTTTAACAATGTGGGCCTTAGGGGTACTGAGACTGCCACGTTTGAAAATTAGGATATAATTTATAAAAGGCCCTCCTTCTGTGTGGTTCCTTCATATCCCCATTCCTCCATATTGTGGTTCTTCATCTGCCAAATTCAACCAACTGCAGATCATGTGGTACTACAATATTTACTGTAGATGTTTTTGAAAAAAAAAATCCACATACAAATGGACCTTTGCAATTTAAACTCGTTGTTCAAAGGTCAACTGTGTTGTAAAAAGCATCTCTAGATCACTTATAATACCTAATACTATGTAAATAGTTGCCAGGGATCCAGGAATTCAAGTTTTGCTTTATGGAATTTCCCATAATTTTTTTTTCCCAAAATATTTTTGATCTGAGGTTGGGTGAATCCACAGATGCAGAACCCAGGGATGTGGAGGGGCAACTGTATTGTAAGCACAGAATAAGGACAGGGTTTGAAACATTATCTCCCTCTCTGCTAGTATCCCTGTATCTATAATATGGCTGGCACAAAACCAATGCTCCATAAATAATTATTGAATGAATTAATGAGTGACAGAAATGTCCCCACATTCACTTCATTTATCTACATATCAAATGTTGTGTTTAAAAATAATCACAACCCAAAACAGAAACTTTCTATACTTGAATGATTGATTTGTTGTTGTTCAGTCCCTAGGTAGTGTCCAACTGTGACTCCATGGACTGTAACACACCAGGCTCCCCTGTCTCCCGAGTTTGCTCAGATTCATGTCCACTAAGACAGTGATGCTATCTAACCATCTCATCCTCTTCCACCCCCTTCTCCTTTTGCCTTCAATCTTTCCCAGCATCAAGGTCTTTTCCATCAGGGTCTTGTAATGATCAATAGCAAAATCAAATTCATTTACCTCAAGTATCTTCTAAAAGTATATTTTGTTTTATGATTTACTGTGTAGATTTACCCTTTCATTTCAAAACCAACAGACTTATGAAGCTAAGAGTATACTTAGAGAGACACAGTTGGGTGTTTTTCCTACTTTAATCCCATGTTCATTTTTACTTTTAGGGAAAGAGGATTATAAACACTGTTTTATTTTCACTACTTACAGCATCATCCTTTAAAGCGTTTAACTTAGAAATGTCTTCCAGCCGTTGCCTTGCCACTTTCTAAAAGTTATAAAAACTCCTTGAGATTTCACAGGGCTAATTTTTGAAAAGAAAATGGAAATATCACTTATAGTTGTCCATCAAACAAAACTACTCCAATGTCCATAAATAAATCAGCCTTCCAGGAAACTGACCTTTTCCTCACATTCTCTTTCTCTGAGAACTAAATCTAGCCCTTATTCTCATTAGTGGATTATCCAGTCACGTTCTGCCTTCAATGCTGGAGACCTGGGTTCCATCCCTGGGTTGGGAAGATCCCCTGGAGAAGGGAAAGGCTACCCACTCCAGTGTTCTGGCCTGGAGAATTCCATGGACTGTGTAGTCCATGGGGTCGCAAAGAGTCGGACACGGCTGAGGGGCTTTCACTTTCACTTTCTATTAAAACATTGGAATGAAAAAGTTTTTATCTACAGTTAATACAAGCAACTTCCTTTTATTTACAAGTTTACTACAACCATTATGCCTTGTTGTCAAAATGAGATAAACCAGTAATTCTTCTCTTATTCTAATAAAAAAAAGCACATGGCAATAGCATTTAAGAAGTCCAAAATTCACTTAGCCTCAAGTTGCTTCAATATCCTCATCTGTTGAGACTGGCAATATCTGTCCTATCTCTTGGGAGTGTTATGAGGTAAAAATGAGAAGAAAAAAGGGACTTAGGAAAGTCAAACTTGCTTTTATGACTGCAAAGATCTCATTGTGCAAACTATTGTGGCCCTGACTCACTGGTGTTGATGGCTCTCAGATTTTGTTTTAGTAGAAATAGAAATAAGCACTGTTTTATTAACCACATTTATTTCACCTCCCATTCAGAGGTCAATTCAGTGTTAATGTTGGGGAAAAGACACCAGTATCATTTTACAGTAAGACAGTGTTTGGGCACCTCCTCTGTATGTTTTGTCATGTTTTAATTTTTCCTTGAGTAATAGGAACTACAAATGTCAAAGAAACTCATATATTTCCTCAAATAAACTAATTTATTATTTCCTTCTCCTTCCTAAGCTCTTTTCTTTCTTCCTCAAGGTTTTTGTGTTTTTCATTTTGATTCCTGACTGTTGACCTGCTGGAAAACATTCTTTCTGAGATGTGTTCATTCATTCACTATATATGTATCCAGTGTACTTTATTTAGACACTGAATAAAAATAGGTACTGAGCCTGCCCACATGTGGCTGATCATCTAATGGAGGGACAAAGAAAGACTCGGCAGAAAACATACATGCATAATCTATAGGCAGTGAGCGTGCAGGACATGCAGAGATGCTGCAGAGTGAGATGTGCATATGAGGGGCGGGTGTCTAGGTTGGTCGGTGAGGAGTTGAGGTGAAGTCACTTAAGACTTGAACAGACAAGCTGCCAGCCGTGGGAAAAGAAGACAGCGGTTGAGGGAGGGAGCAGGTGCCTCATGTCCGGAGGCCTGACGTTTACCTCTTCTCTAGAAGAGATGGATGCGCAGCTCTAGAGCCAGGAGGTAGACCCTGGATTCTGTGAGCATTTGCACATAGAGGACAGCCGAGGAGACCCCAGTAGGTGTCTTCTTCTTGTGACTGTTTCTGTTTTCTTAACAGTCATCATCTACATTTTCTCCCTTTTGTTTTCCTTGTAGCGTGTTCAGGAGGAGCTTGGAAATCTTAAGCCTTTGCCTGGCATCACCTCAGAAATAAGCAACACCCCAAGCACCTCCTGAGTTCTCTCCCAGTGGTGTCCATCTGCCCATGGAGAGCAGATTTGCCTTAGGAATGCAGTCACCCTCCATGAAATCCAGATGGAATACAATGCCTTTTAGGAAACCAGATTCTATCTCAGGATTTTCTCTCAGATCTTCTGTGTCCCTGTCACCCACAAGTCATCCATCATCCTGTAACTTTCCGGGGACCGTGTCACAATGAAATAAGTGTAGGGCTAGAAGAAACGTGCTGGTCCTAACTGTGGTGTGCTTCACGAGGGAAGCACACTGACCAGCTACGTGGCTTTTTCCAGCTCAACATCATTAACCCTTTGACTTCATCTGTTGAACCCTGACTTTCTAAAGACCGAAAGAGTTAGGGAACTCCTAGCAAATGATAGCCCGTGACATTAGTAAATTCCAGAAATGGAGAAAACGAAAATTCCAGATCAGCTAATGTGTTGCTTTAGAATATAACTGTAGCACTCTATCAAGGGAAGAGATTCATATTCATATATTTCTATTTATTTCAAGGAATGTAGTCCTCATGTATTTTGCATTCGAAGTAGTTTTAGAAAGTATATTGTTGATCTTGGAAATTATTGACATCTTCACAGCCATATGGATACAAATTCTTATGGAGCAGAGTTCGACCCATTAGTCATGGCACTTTCCCTTGGGCGCTCCTGTCAATAAAGGCTGTGTGTTTGTGTGTTTCCTCTTCTCACAGCTTGTAGAATAATCTCTCCTGGGTTTCATTTTAGGGTGACCCTGGATCATCTGCTGCAGGAATTAAGGTAACTATATGCTTGCAAGTGTTTGTACCCCAAGAGTGACAGATTTGACTTCTGTATGCCTCTTCTTTCTCTTCTCTTTTACCAATTTGGATGGTTCTAACTCTGTTCCTCTTCTGCAATAATTGGCTTCCAAACACAACAGGGAGTATCTGTTGGAAGTCTAATAAAGGCTTAAACGAGAGGTTTTCACTCCTCTTCCCTTTCCGATTGGTTTTAATGGAAATGTGGATTTGTATGTAAGCTTTAGACATAGTCAAAGCAGGAAAAAAAAAAAAAGGTTCCTATGTCGAGTAATATATAAAGTAATAGAGTGAATGAAATGCATGTGTCATCCATCAGGGAGGCTGAAAGTGTCCAGGGGTCTAAGGGTTCTGGAGAGTTCTTTTAAGACTGCCTTTTCCATCTTTGGTTTTCTTTGGCCAGGGAGAACCCGGAGAATCTGGTCGTCCAGGGCAAAAGGTAAGATCCCTATTCTAGTGTGGTTTTAGTACTTTTATATTCACCATTTTACCATGTCTACTATCCACTGTGTAATATGAGAACAATTATTGAAAATGATGCTGTTTTCATGCTTTGTATGCAGTGTTATTGTTTTTCATTTTAAAAGTGTTGATGCTGACCATAGCAAAAATACAAACACATTCTGTACATGTGAAAGGAAGTTTTATGAACTAAAGTCTGCATGTACTGAACTGTTTAAGACTAACAAGGATCATCTGGGTTGGAATGCCAACAATTTATCTTGCATGTTTAAAGATACTCTGCATGTTTCTATCTTTCACAAGAAGAAATGAATACTTACTAAACTGTCTCAGTAGGGGATGATGGACAGTTCTTTTAAGATTATATTCCCTTCCTCTCATTTCAAATACGTCCCAGCTGATAGTTTTTTATGTGAATAATATCTACCTAAGCAATCAATGTTACGTTGTACAAAGAGATTTGTTCATGAACTAAATTTTAGTTGTAGACACTAGCCAAACCACTTTAACCAATCTGTAGTTACATACATTAATTTTTTTTTTATCATTTGTGCTTTACTTTAGTGATAAATTAGAGGACATGCAGTGAATATGTTTATTCTCATTTGAGTCTGAAGCTGGAAACAACTGTTAGTAGTTTATCGTCTAAGCATCTGGATATCAATGCCCAGTGCAGATTTTAGATAACAGATGTAGCTAACAAGTAAATGTGAATTCCACACTAGGTTAAATCTCCTAAGATCATGACTCTGCCTTTGTCTAGCAGTAACTGATGTTATAGAGAAAAAACATGAATAGAGACATAGAATATACCTAATTAGTATAAATAGAAAGAATAAATCCCATTGTAGTAGTTTGGAATCTTAAAACATAACATTAAAAACTATTCCCACATTCTTGAAGTTATTGAGAGAATCATTGCTTTGTTTAAACACTTAGGAATAAAGTATTTTTTGAGAAGGTCTTTCACATCTTTTAAAGTTTCCCTAATTTAAAAATAGGGTTTTCTCTTGAAATTAAGAATCTGAGAGAAATAATTCATTAAGCCTAGTTTTAGGTAAAGTTGAGACTTTTCTGAAGAGCCCAGAACGCTGCAAGTTTTTCTGTTCAATGCCTAAAATTTCCCACTGATTCTTTATGTAAGAAATTAGAAATTAGTGATGTCACAGAGATCCATGACTTGTTTTGGTATGAGACAGCATCTGATTTTCTCTAATGAACTGATTTTAAGTTCCTTAGTCTTTAAAAATTGAAGGCTAAATTTAAACTGCTCTCCAAATCTGTGATAAGGTAAAAATTTCATATCTGCAAAACTGGTATGTCTTTTTAAAACACAACAAATTTGCTGTAATTTCATATAGGTTTCACTATTTTCAGAGTAGAAGATCCAAATTGATTTTCAGTTAGTTAATGAAAGAGTGCCTTATTATAATTACTTAAAAATACATTTTAGATTCATTTTTGGAAGTTTGTAGGTTTACTTATGGAAACATTGGCTTTTCTTTGCATTTCATTTAAAACCTGTTTTAAATTATATTGAGAGAATTAGATTATATCTGAATGAATATGTGTGTGAATGAATATGTGAATGAATATTACAACTCATCTGACTGAAAATGTGCCCTGAAATGAGCAGTATCTTTTTCATTAATATTTAGGCCAGATTCTACCCTTTGATGCAATATCAGTTTCCCACAATATTTATGACTTCCTTTGTTTAATATCTGGATTTGGCAATACTTACTCCAACATTGATTTAAAAGTAGAGTGTTCCCGTGTTTGCTGGTTGCTTAGATTGGAACATGACAAACAGAACTGAGGACAGAAGCCATTCAAGGAATCTTCAACATTTGTCTCACCACTGTAGAACTGTGTTGTGGGTTCTTTGATATTTAAGCTTCGGCATTAGGGATGTTTTCAGAAAGTAGAGGCTATCCTGACAGAATTGAAGTGCATTGATTAGTTCTCCACTTTCTGGTATTTGGCAGTATGAAAGTTTGTTTTTTAGTAACGTTCATAATGGAGGAATGATTTCAGTTTGTTTGTTTTTTTCTTTTATAAACTCAACAGGAGAGTCTGTGATTGATATGTGAGTTAGGGTGATTATATTTATAAGGTGAGTGTGTAGATTTATGAAATAGGCATTGTGTTTCATCCTATGATTTTTTTCCTTCCTAACTTCTCCACATGAGATGGCATTGATGGTAAGGTGGTGAGCCTACTGCCTACCTAACTTCTCCACATTTTTTTGAAATATATATTTTTTTAGTTTTAAAGGAGTGAAAATGCTTGTTGCTCTGTTGAAAGGGACCAGCACAGTAGAAGTATATCTGAAAACACCGGGCATTGTGACAGGGACATGGGGTGAAAGCAGAGAACTGACTTTAACAGTAGACTAGGTCTCCAATAATGGAGAATAAAGAATGAAAGGGAGAGAAAAAGAAAACCAGAAGTATAATGTATCAGTATAAAGTATAATCTACTTGGACAAGTAGTCTTTGAGTGGAATAACAAACCAATTCTTAGTTATGACCCACACCTGACTTTGGGCTGTACATGCCCAAGAACTCAGCTCAGAGAAGCTCTTAGTTAAGAAATAGGCAAGAATGGAGACATTAACTGAAAAACTGTCTCTTAATTAAAAGATAAACCTTCATGGTATAAAGATAGAGAATTTATATAAGAAGAAACATCTTCCTAAAAGTGTTGAGATGTTTCTCGAGGGTCAAATTAAATGTTTTATATTTTATAATGTGAACTTTTAAGTAAACACAAATTTGGAAAGGTCAAATTTATAAAAATCCAAGACTATGAAATATGAATTACTGAAATATTTGTTCATTAAATAGTACATTTATAACCTGTATACCTACATACATATGCATATGATGAAAGGAACAGCTAAATGCTCAAACTCTGTAAGTATTCAATCTATATTATAAAATATTCCATAATGTCTTATACATCTTTCTCATTGTGAGAAACATGGGTGTGTGTCTATGTATGCATGTGTATGTAAATATCTTACTTTAGTCATTGATCTTTTTATTTTGGTGGGAGGGAAGAGTTTAGTGAGAAAGCTTTTCGAGAAACAGTGTTACAACCCATATGTTTCCACAGGTCTTAAATAGGATGTCTTGAGTTTGGGGGCAGGGCTTTTCTAAAACAAAACAAAACTATTGACTTGTCAGCAATATGCTTACTATTATTGGTTGCTTATTATACTGCAGCTTACTGTATTTTCAAGGGTCTTATCCTTTTTTTCGTAAAAGAGAATCTTCAGTGAAATATGGATAAGATCATTTTACTAGATCTTTCTAAAGCTATTTATTGAGGGGGAAAAGGGAAAGAAAAAAGAAAATCAAAGGTATAATGTTGTATCTGTGTAAAGTTTAATCTACTTGCCTAAGTATTCTTTGAATGGAATGTCAAATTCTTAATAATTATTATTTCTTCTCTGGCTCAATCTCTTCTTACTCTTTTGTTCACAAGGCAAACTTTCATTCATGTAGTTTCAAAAAGAATAGCTTTTCTTTTGCATTCCTGAAGCACCTTTGACCTAAACCATTAGGAAAGTCATTGTTCTTTCTATGTCTAACCATACAGCTTCATATAAACAGTATCTGAAGTCATTTTGTGATCATACCAGAGCAAATTATAGTTCTCCATTGTTTGAAAGTAATAATATTAAAGATTAAATGTCTGGTTGCTATTAGTAGACTTTCCTTGGAATAAGGATTGTTCAAGTATTTAAAGTAGATGGAGTTGGATGCTTCTGTCTCTTTTGGTATAGCTGTCATAGCACTGGCTTGCAATCCTGAAACAGTGTGACCCTTTTACCTTCAAATGTCATTTCCACAATATTTGGTCACCTCAGCCCAATACGGGATGGGCTTTCATTTTCTCTAGCAATTTTGTTATGCTTTTTTAGTGGAATTCAGGAGATTTTCTAAGCAATAGAACTTCCTGTTGCTATACTTTGTGCTTAAAATAATGTAGACAGTCGTGTGAAAATCAGAAGATTTAGCTTGACTCCAGTATGCTCACCCAAAATGCACCACTTAATCTCAAACCTGTATTCAGAAACAGCTGCATGGAACCATTAGCTCCCAGTGGCTAAGCAGGGCCACCCCGACTCAGCAATTGTCAGCTACATGGGCTGGAGTTCAGGATAATCTGAACCATGCATCTATCTCCTTATCATTCAGGAATGGAAAAGAAATTCTGTTATACTTTTAAGTGAGGAAGACTTTTCATGTGTATTGTTTTGATGTGACCATGTGTTCATACAGCCAACTCTTGATTACCTGAGGTAAGAGGCCTCTGGAGCAGGGTGCATTGTTCAAATGCAAGTAATCCTCACTTCAGCTGATGGCCTCAGCTTCCGCAGCAAATCATTTACCAGGCAGCAATAAAACATAGGGGTTCCTTCTCCTTTTCTCTCTCTCACCTTCTGGTAGCAATGACAATGAGCAAGGAACTGACAGGGAAAGGGAAACTCCTGAAAAACCTGCATAAGGGTCAACCCATCCCTGAATCAAGAGTTGACTGAACTGCATAATCTCACCAAATGTCTTGAAACTAGACAGTATATTAGACATATATATATGTATATACCTACAGCAAGAATTCGACTGGGAGCATTTGCCATGTTTTTCTCAGATACTATGCCTGAGTGAATGCTGTTCTATAATGCTGTGTGATTTTCCTATCTATGTAGGGTGAACCAGGGCTTCCTGGGCTTCCTGGACTTCCGGGGATAAAGGTAAATACGCACTGACAGTCTTGGCTTCGTAGAAATGTAATTGCGGGAGTCACAAAAATGAAAAAAAAAAAAAAAAATGAAAGCTAAAAGTATACTGCTGTTCTTTAAATACTCACCAGCCATTTCAACCAATAAAATTTTTTAGTTAAAAACAAAACACAAGTAGCAGAAATAGAATTACAGACAGAAAACAAATTTATAGTTACCAAAGGGGAAAACGAAGAGGGGATAGATTAGGAGTTTGGGATTAATAGACACACACTACTGCATGTACAATGGATAACCAACAAATCCTACTATGTAATACAGGAAGCAATACTCAATATTTTATTTTATATATATATTAACTGAATCACTTTGCTGTATACCTGAAACTTAAGACAACATTGTAAATCAACTATACTTCAATTAAAAAAGAAAATGAAGCACAGGTATTTCTGAGTTTGTCATGGCTATTTGGCTATATGTTCCACTTATAACCTACTATGCCCCTTAAATAAATGTAAAAATCATTTCATTTGAAGTCATAGGAGTTCTTTCAAGTCTAGAATGTCTCCCTTCACATTTAAATTTTACTCTTAAAATCCTATCAGATTTTGACCAGAATTAGAGTCTTAACATCCCCATAAATCTAACATCCAGGCAGCTGTTTTTGTGATTCACCCATTATATTAATCCCTCCAAAGTGTTCTGTTCTTCCACTTCCTGTCAATAGTTCTCACTGCAAACTACAAATCATATTACTAAGTTTTATTGACCCACATACTATTCCCATAAAATTTGTATGTGTCTTTTAAAATAACTGCCTAAAGCTTAGTTTGAAAACATTGTTTTACACATTTTTACATCTTCTAAAGATGTTAAGAAATGGGTTTTTTGTTTAAAATTTTTCATGTGGCAACTGACAAGGCTTAAAAGTTCGACTGCCTTGGCTATAGTCACTCCCTTAAAATCAGCTTCTTATTTTAAGGTTCTTTTTAAATTCTAACTGTTTGATATGATAACAGAATGCAAGTAGATTTTTCTTTACATCGTTCTTATCTTATAGGATTTTAAATTAATCTCAAGAGTGCTTTAGATGATTCTAAAATTAAAGTTCCTAATTTCAGTAAAAGAGTTGTATATACTGCTTTATGAAGATTGTATTTGAAATGTCTTACATGCATCATATGATTTTAGAATAAATAAATTACTGAGTTCCCAGACATCATATGATATAATATGTAGTATTTTATGAGGATATTTGTTATAATTAACAGATATGAAAGCTATGAATTCCAGGTTGGCACTCAGAAATTTTGGTTCTGCTTTTTGTTTGATGTTTCCAGACTAGTATCGTAGATGTTCGGATAGGCCCTTTTAATGTATATTTTAGTCTTTTGTCTTCTCCATTGATAAGAACACTCTATGACAATAGTTTACTAAAGAGTTGAAATAATTTCCTTATCTTTTGATATTTAGCAAAAATAACTTAATAAATTGTATGTGATCTCATACTGTAAATATGGGATTAGTAATACCACATTACACATCTTTAGGAATCCCACACATTAAAAAAACAACAAAAAAAAACTTTTTACTAACATTTGGAAAATCATAGATTTTTTTAAACAAATTTAAGAAAATTGTATTCAGCACTAATTTAAAAAAGCCTGATAGCATTTTAAATAAGAGGGGGAGAGGTATATTTAAAAGGAGGAGTATTTGGAAAGACCAGGACAGGATTTCCTGCAGTACTTGCTTGTAGGTCAGCTGGGCTCTGCCACCATCAGTCACGTGCCAGGAATCTCAGTGCTGTGTGGAAATCCTGCTGTCCTTTCTCCTGAGCATGAGCTTTCTTGTTGAGAGAGAGTACATAAGGGTGAAGGTATTGGGTTTTTCCTCCAAAACAAACAAACAAAGCTACTATTTTTTTCTCATTACCTTTGATTTCTGTCCTCCATCATGAAAAATACACCAGTGCATTTCCCTAGTCATCAGTGGACCAGTCCAAAGGTTTTGAGCTTTTTCAAATTGGGAAAGATGGTGATCTGCCACCTCTAGTTAATGTTTTTATTCTTAGGGTCATGGGAAGTTGCCAGACAAATTTTGTTGAAATCTTATAGCTGACATTTTCTATTGTTTTTCTAAGCTGACTGGTGACTATGGTGAAAAGAAGCTATTGATTGACAAAAACCTTTCTATCATTCACTAGAGATACTTTTCTAGGTAATTATCAAGTGCTGTTGGGTAACTTGCCAGTATTCAATTTAAATCACCGGTTCTATTTTTGGCTTAATAGCTCTATCTTCTCTTGTTCAGAATGTGAGTGATATGCTTGCCTTATAGTACGTGCTCAATATAAATGAGTAACTTTGTAAAGGAGACAATTTAAAAACACATCACAGTCAGTAGTAGTCATTGGATATTTTTAAATATAGAGTTAAAAGTTTATAAATTTATGATATAGCTTCATTAACTTGGGATATTCTTTATTCCTTTCATATGTCTTGCTTCTACTAGGTAGCTAACCACAGGACAGTTAACCTTGATTTCACAGTTAATGAGTAATAATATTTAGAAGATGAAACCATCATATATGGATTTAGAATGCGTGGTAGCGAGAGCATTAGTGGTAACCTTCCTAGACCTGTGTTTTTGTTTACCCTTTGGAAGTACTTCCTGTTGCTATTCATCTCCTTATTTGCTGGTACTCCAGAGAGCATGCAAATGCCATCCGTTATTTCCAAGACATTGAGGAAACCAGCCATGACATACCAGGGAAGCTTTGATTGCCACCTGTTGCTCTCCGGGAATGGTTGGAAACTTAATGAGCATTCACATGCCCTTGCACACGGCTCTCAGGAAGTGAGCAAAGTTCCTAAGTACAGACAGCAGACTCATCTATCTATCACCTCAGAGTCCCATTCAGAGAAAAGTGCTAATACCTTTGGCATACATAAAAGTCACTAAGAACAGTCATTGTTTAATTTCAAACTACTCTCAAGCTTCCTGCACAAGTATTGGAAAGTGCACTCACCATGTGGAAGACATTTGGAATTCCTATTTCATGCATTCATGGTTCATAGAGTGTTAAGATGTTCAACTGGGAAAATTAAATTATGCACAATGTACCATGCAAACATCGGTCTTCTGGATTAAGAATTGAGCTTAGAATATTATTTTTTATAAATAAGCCTTTAAATACATTTTTCATGGGTAAAGCTTATTGTGACCAGCTTTTCCAATATCACTTAAATGGGGAAGATTTCAAAGTTCCTATTTTTAAACATTTTTTTCCTTTCCATACATTTTGAAACATTATTTACCCTTTTAATGGTTATGTTACCCTAGTCATTAAGTCACGATGGGCAGTGATCAAGAGCCTTGACTTTAGAGCCAGACTGCCAGTTAGATCTACCTGGTAGAACCAGGTAGATGCTGGTTCTACCCCTCACCAGTTTGTGAAGCTGTAGCATGATACTGGGCAAGTTACCTAATCTCTGTGTACTGGATTTCCTTATAAAATGAAAATTATTATTGTATATAACTCAAGGGGTTGTTGTGAGGATTAAGTGAATTAATATATGTGCAGCTCCTAAAATAGTGCCAAACATATAGTAAATTAGATATAAATTTTAGCCATTGTTATTTCTTTCTCTTGGAGCAGCTCAGAATATTGGAAATGTTGTTTATGCACCTGTTCTATATAGTCTTTCCTCCTGTGAGTCATTTCAACCTAGAGATCATAAGGCCATTTATACCCTACAGGTTCATAGATGTAACTGAAAACTCCTCTGTAGTGATGGTTGACTGTTACCTTTAAGAGCAGTAAGATAACCTACTTTCTTACATTATACCATTCATCTTTTTCCCTAAGAACATTCCAAGAACAAAGAATAAAGGAGCACAGCATTCTGGGCATAAGACATGGTGTTAAGTTCTCCTTCCCAACACTGTTCACAGGAAAAGCAAAAGGAAAACCTGACCTGTAATAATGAAATACTCTAGGCCCCATTCATAGCGTTGCCTAACCCCAGACATTTTTTACAGATATGGATTTTCAATGCTTTTCTCCTTTCAACATTGACTACCAGTTTATCTCATCATATTCAGGAAGTAAATTCAGAAAAAAATATAGCTGGTACAATAAAAGGAATGCAGTAGGGAGACATAATACAGTAAAAATTACAACAAATCAGAGAAACAAATCATTTAGGTGGCAAAGAAATTTTTACAGTGTTTTCCCTCAAAGCTTGATATTTTTGTTCTGGCTTCCACATTCGTGAAAATCTGACATTCAGATCAAGAACTTGAGGATTGGGAGACAGTAACTAACTCGTTATGTAAAATCATCCTTGACAGTAAATCATATATGGACTAACTTTTACTGGTAGCAGAAATGTTGCTTTGTCATTCTTAGGATTAAAAGAAGTGCTCACTAACCTATAGAAACTTATCTTCTAAATCCACTGGAGATGATGTTCCTTCCTCAGAAATACCAAATCACATTTTAAAAACAAAAGAACAAAGTTCTTGAAAGTAACATAGTATATATGTAATGAATTCCTAAAAGAAAAGGAATAAATACTGGTTGAAAGGATAACATTGTGTTGTTGTTACTTATTGTTATTTCCTGCTTGCACAAAGTGTGTCTGAGCAGTTAAGTAGTTTAAGAATTCAATTAGGAAACTCATGCAACCAGAAATCAGAGAGTTTTTCACAGCCATAATGAAACCTCGAATAAACACAAGTACGCTTTCATATTGCAATCCCATTAAGAAAAAACAATATCAGAAAGTTATGTTTTTTAAAAAAAAAGGAAAGTTATGTTTTCTGGGTTTTGAATAAACTTGCTATTGTATTTCATTTTCATCGTAGCCACCAAAATGTTTAATTTGTACTCGGATATGATCCTTCAGGGAAGTAAGTGTTTTGGGGACAGATTCCACTTTCTCATTCTTTTCTTCCCCCCTCAATAGTTTTACAAATCAATCATTACCAAAACTGACTTCCTGAAG